CCTTTCCCATATTATCTGCAGAGCAGGTACAAACCCCAGGACCAGGGCCTGAACATGAACAAGCTCCATTTACTGTCATCAGCTTCCAGTGCAGAGAAGCCAAACCCAAGTTTTATGGGAATATCAAAGGTATTGCTTAACAAGTGCCATTCCCAGCCAAAGAGCAGCAGTTTTCCACCCTCTGGAGCTGGGCAGGAGCAGCAACTTTTCTATAACTGGAAAACTTGTATTTTCTTCATTGTCATCAAAAGCAGCTGAATCATTTTTTCTTGGAACATAAGAAGAACAACATCCATTTGGGACAGACAGGAATTCAGTCAGACCAACCCAGCCCTCCCAGGAACACCCCCAGAGTGCCCAGCTCCAGCCCAGCAGACACAAACCAGTGAAGGCAGAGGTAAGGACAGAAACGATTAGCAAGGCAGCAGTTGCTGCAGTCCCTGCTATGATGGAGAGTTCAGCTTCTGTGTCACTGGAACTGTCCCATGGGTGCTCTTGTCTCTGATGCACAGTGCTCTACTCCAAGCAGCCCAGAGGAAACCCACCCCTCTCCCTGCTATGCCCTCACCTGCACAACGGGTACAATACATTCTTCCAGCTCGGAACTGCTGACCTGGTCTATCACTGTCCTGTGGGTGACATTTCAACCCCTACATTTCAGACTCTTAGCAAAGCCCTGCAGGGTGATGCTCTGACAGGGGTATTGCCTTGTCCAATCCCAGCTCCCTGCCCACGGGGCCTTCTCATCTGTTTGTAACCAGAAAAGGTTTTCTTCACTGCACTGGGCGTCTCACGTGGTTGATCACTCTTCCACATCCCTCCAGTGACAGGAAACAGCGAGTGATGTCCCCATTTGGTTGCCAGCATGGTTGTGTCTCAGCACCATCTGGAGTGACCCTTCCTGAGATACCCACGGCTGCTTCCACAGCCAGCAGGAAAACAGGAGGCAGGATGCAAATGCTCTCACTGCTGTTTGCTCTGGATGAGCACAGCTAGGAGACAATGATGCAAGCTCACAAGCAGCAGGAGGTTACAAGGCACAAAAGTCACAGCAGCCCCAGGGATCCCATTGGAATCAATCAAGGAACATGGGACCCTGTTCACCACAGGGCTTCAGTGAACCAAACTGAGCAGTTCATGGTTCACCACTGGGTCAAACACACTCAGGGACACTCATCTGTCACTTGAGCAATCCCAGGAGCACAAAGGAGCAAAAGAGCAGGATGGAAAACAGCCAGAGAGGAGACCTGGAGCAGGAGGCTGTCTCCAGTGTGCATCACTTGGTTATGAACACACTCCAGGCAGGTGATGGGACACTGCAGCCCAGCTGCTCTCCTCTCACTCTCTCCTTGTAAACTAACTCCTCTCCTTTACTTCCCCCACCTAAAGCCAAGCAGCCAGGTTCCTCCCACAGCCCTCCCAGAGGCTAAGGTGAGGCAGGAACACTGCCTGCTCCTGAACACCAGAGCTCGGTGCCTGTGTGAAGCACACAACCGCCCATTGCCACTTCTCAGCAGCTTGGTAAGGAACTCACCCTCTGGGGCTCATTACTGCTCAGTGCTGAGACACATCCATGTGTGCTGGCTCCCCACCATCAGCCCTGGCACCATGACAAGGCCCCACCTGGGCAATATGGACACACAGACCTTCTCTGTGTCTGATGTTCGCATCCCAGTGCCGGGGGATCCTGTGCCTGCTTACAAGAGGAACACTGACATGGTCTGGTGAGGCTAAGCAAGGAGGATGGGTGCTGAACACAGGCACTTCACTGGCTGCTGCTGTCTGGTCCCTGTGCTCCCTTCAGGACCACCACTGGCTGCATTCCATGGTCCTGACTAGATGTGGGGACACCACCACGTTCACTAACGTTATGTCACTGCCCAGCTGCTCACTGCCTTATGTCCCACCTCTGCAGCTCTGCCCTGTGCCCACCATCCAACTGCTTCTGCTGGCACCAGTGTTCTGGTTGATGCACTAAAATACACCAGCCCCCTCCGTGCCCACCATCCAACTGCTTACACTGGCTGCAGCTTTTCCATTTATCCATTAAAGGAAGAATAAATGTTTTCTCCTGTCCAAAAGGCTTGGTTCATGCTTTAGAGAGGAACACATCACACCAGATTCCTTTGGGAGTGTTACAAACTGTCATCAACTAAGGAGACCTCATCTTCTACCCAAATCTCCAATACCAGCAGCTGGAGCATGAGTCCAGTGACAGTAACACATGTGAGAAATGAGACAAAACCATGAAGAATAGAAACTGGCTCCAATCACTGAAGACGTTTACACTCAATGAGGCCACCAGTGGCAATACTGGTGTGCTAGTCTGCACTTGGACACGCGAGACCTTTACCTGCATGATACTTTGCTTCTTCCACTGGATCTGGAAGTTTCACTTCAGGCCATGGGGGTGAAGACAGAGAGGTTTTGGCAACAAGCCTGTGAATGACAAGGTAAAATTCACTTGTAGCAAACAGGTATTGTCAAGAGATATAAAACAGGAAGAGAGGGGAAAACGAGATGGAGTAGAAAGAGGTTTTCCCCTGGGAGAGCAGAAGTTGTAGAGGAAACAATGATTTGGCAGTATGAAAGACTCAGCCCAAAGCCCTCTTGGGCCAGACACAGTTCCCCAGGGATCGTGTTTCCCCCTGCAGCAGCTCATGAGCAAGGAGAGGTTTTCTCCTCCAGCCTCGGGTGCTGTCAGCAGGGGTGGCAGGTGAGGCAAAAGCCATGTTACCTCCCCAGGACCCAACAGAGGACCCCGGCTATGGCAAAGTCCCCAGACCTTCCTCCCAGCACCAGGCAAAAGCACCCAGCACGACAAGAAACACTGTAGCCCACAGCAGAAACCTCTTCAAAACCACACAGGAAACACTTGGTCTCATTCCTGAGTTCAACCTGCAAATGCTCTGCCACACACAGTCCCTGCTCCCAGGGCTTAATGTCACTCAGGTCCACCAGGAACCACAGCAGGCTCTAACACACAGTGATAAATGCCCCAGTGGTGGCTTTGCTTTACTCCCATCCTCACCTCAAATTCAGTCTGGGGAAATGGATTTAGTTTTTCCCCCCTTTTTTTCCCCTTCCCACTTCAGGATGTTACTGGAAATAGTTGAAAGCCAAGGAAGAAACAGATTGAAAACTAACTGAATATGCTTCCCCCAGGCTGTTATCTCTTGTTCCTGAGCTGCAGGTGGATGTGCTGGTGGGGATCAAGCTCAGCAACCACCACGACATTCCAGCCTGGAATCTGTCACCAACTCAGTGCAAACAGATCCACCTTAAGCCTCGCTTACAGCTCAGTTTTAGACCAAAGGCTCTAGTGAAGCTTTTCCAGGTATAGCTGCAAGTTACCTCCCCCACAGTGGAGGGGCTGAGCAGGGTAATGCTCCTCAAGCCACTTCAGCCCAGGCACACAGCCCTGCAGCTCCCGGTGGTGTGGAGCATCTGGAGGCAGGAACATGCCTTTGATGGGGAAGGAGGTAACGAGCATCCCTAAGGCAGCCCCAGCTACGCCTCAATGACTCACAGCATCCTTTCTTCCTCTGTTCTGTGAAGCTCTTTTCTGTGAAATAGAGTTTAGAGAGGGCCTTAAGACCACAGCTGGGTTCTTTACAGGAGAGTTCCGAGGCTGCTCTTCCTTTGTTACTTACAGCTGCATTCCCTGAATGGCAGCAGTAACAGCTTCCCTCACCCTCAGAGCATTCAGCAGCTACCACACACATTGAGCCCCAAAGCCTCTCCTGTGCCACTACCATGTCTGTCTACCACAGCCAGGAGGGACCAGCAGAGGCTCTAAGAGGACTTCTGAGCCCCACACCTACCTCTGTCCAGACTGACCACAGCGGGAGCATGTACCATCCCCCATCCCTCATCCAAGCACAAGCATCATTCCTCAGGATGACTTTGAGCCCCAAGGTATTTTACTAAAAGGTGCAAATTAAACCCTTATTCTTTTTGGAAGGGAAGCTTTGGCTGTTGTGGTGGAGAGTTGCTTTAATAACATCTCTTTTCCTGTCCTGCTGGGACAGGAGCTTCTCCATTTCAAGACATTGCATTAGTTCTTGAAGACCTCCCTGGGGACCGGCCCAGGGGACTCCTGAGCATCACAGACATATTCAGCACTGACAGAATCACAGGAGCAACACGGCTCAAACCACACCAGTGCCTGAATGACAAACTCAGTGCAGAAGACACTTACTTGATGCCTGCTCCACCTCCTATACTTAGATGTTGTTCTCTTGCTTACTGAGGGCAGAACGTGGCTGTCACAACACACAACCCCTCCAGTTCAGTGCATAAAGCAGGGCCTGAAGGCAGGCTGCCCACAGCATGGACACCAGACGAAGACTGAAAGCTGGCAGGGGTGTTCCAGCTAGCAGCCAGCAACAGGCTCTCATCAGCTCTCATGGTGGGTTCTTTCTGCTTTCCTCAAGCTTAGCACTGGAAGGGATCCTCTGCCCCAAACTGAACCAGTTCCTGGCTGCTTCAAGCCCTGTGCGGTCAATCCCAAGGCATCTATTTGCTTGCACACGCTGCCTTCCTTGACAGACAGCATTAAATCACAGAGCCCCTTTTAAAACAACAACTAACATGCTCCAATGTGCCACAGGGTGTTAATTTAGAAATGAAACACTACATGAAGCTCACAGTGTGAGGCTGAACATTAAAAACGCCAATGCCATTGGCTTGTAATGAGCTGGATTTCAGGATCTCCAGGACAAGGAGCAACCAGGAGGACCAGAGGCAGTGGTCTGCACTTCTGGCAGCACTCGGGGATCACCCTGAGAGATGCCAAATGCCTTTACTCAGAGGGACACCCAACCAAAAGGCGTAAGATTATAGTTCCTTATTAATCAAGAATCTATGATACCACAAAGACGACCTTAAAGAGGGGGGAGATTCACCCTGGATGGTGCCGAGATGACCAGAATAGTATCAATCCTGAAATCTGGGCACAAAGGTGCTGCTCAGTGAACACTGTCCCCATCACACAGGGGAAGTTCAGAGTTTCCAGTGTGCTGAGATCCACACTTCCTATAAATAACACAGGATGTGCAAGCTGCCTAAAATATTCCGGGAAGAACATTAGATGCCAGTGAAAGAGGCAAAATGAACCCAGCAGCAGTTGTGTGTCATCCGTTTCCTTTGTCATGCCCAGCAGCACCGCTCAGAGGGCTTTAACGTAACAGAAACTCAAAGCACTTGTGAGCAAGTGCATAACCATGAGCACCAAGGATCTGTTGTGGGGTTCAGTGCAGTGCTGGGGTGTGTCACAGGGGCAGAGATCCAAACTGGGCTCCCACAGTGAGGACCAGTGGGAAGGGACTACCCCAACAGCCTTCAGCAGCGCAGCAGGAACCAGCACACCTCGCTGGGATCCAGCACAGGAACCAGGACACCTCCTACAGGAACCAGCACCCAAACCAGCACACCTCGCTGGGATCCAGCACAGGAACCAGCACACCTCGCTGGGATCCAGCACAGGAACCAGCACACCTCGCTGGGATCCAGCACAGGAACCAGCACACCTCGCTGGGATCCAGCACAGGAACCAGCACACCTCGCTGGGATCCAGCACAGGAACCAGCACCCAAACCAGCACACCTCGCTGGGATCCAGCACAGGAACCAGCACCCAAACCAGCACACCTCGCACGGGAATCAGCACAGGAGCCAGCACAGCTCGTACAACAACAGCACATCTCTGCCGCCTCTTCCCCGCTGCTCTCCGGAGCGCTGCATCGCTGCAGTGTCCCCTCCTGGTCACAGCAGCAGCAGCAGCAGAGCCTGCAGCTCGGCCTGCAGTGACATCCCGGCAGGGGGAACTGAACAGACACCAACGAGCAGCTCCCAAAGTGCTGAAAGAAACGGAGCTCAAGTGCCATCACACTGGATGAGGAGGGCAGAGCCAGTGCCGTGTTTGTCAGGTGTCAGACTCCAGGCAGAGAGCACCCTGAGGCGCAATTACCTGCACCTAAACCCACGAGCATCAGCTGAAGCCCTTCCTGCTGCTGAGGGGTCTGCAGTGTCCTGAGTCGAGTGGCTTCTCTGCTGTCTGCTATGGACTGAGCCCCCTCTGCAGCCCCTTTCTCAGCAGAGAAAATAATTACCTGTCTCTAAGCTCGGCTGCTTAATTTCACAGCTCAACAGAAGCATCCTTCTGGCAAAGGGGACTGAAGGGAGGCAGAGTCCAAAGCTCACTGAGAAGCCACAGACTGACAAAGGGGACAGATAGGCGCCCTTCCAAAGGCAAACCAAGCTGCTCTCCCACCCCCCAGGGCAGGGCAGCATTTCACAGGGCAAAAAACAAAGCAGAAAGTCATTGACGTTACCCCTGTTGTGGTGAGGAGCTCTGGGAACTCTGGTGCCGGACTGCAGAGGAAAACAGGAAGGCTGAAAGGGAGAGAGGGAAGAAGAGTTAACAGTAAGCAGCAACTGCTGGGTTTTAGTCTCTGGTAGGGCAGAACACAGCAATGCTGAGGTGTCCCAGTGTGGTGGTACCACTCCTGTGCCTGTGAAAGCTTCCTTCAGCTTTGTCCTGACAAAGATAAAGGGGGCAGCAAAACAAGTCATGCAGTAAGAAAAAGGACCCATCAGTTGTGTGCAGCACTGCAAGAGAGCAGGAGAAGGGCCTCCTGCTGCACACACTTATTTAGGGTGACACTTCCAGCTAGACACAACAGTTTAACAGGGACACAGGCAGAGCATCCCCCTCTTTTGGAAACAGTGTGACCAAAAAGCACTGCAGTGGCCTGAAGTGACACGGGGGAGCACCCTCCTAATCCCGAGCACTAACTGATGCTGCTTGAAGGATCCCTTCCAGTCTCTGCCCCCCCCAGAGGGGAGGAGAGCTATTGAACAGCATTTCCCAGGTGATTCACAGCAACTCCTACCAAGCCTTGCAAAGTTCCCACTCCGAAAAGCGAGGAGGAAGACACGGTGCACTGCCAGGGCCTGCAGCTCCCAGCAGGCACCACCATGCCAAGGAGAACGTTGGGAACGGAAGAGC